CTTTGGGCTTCAGGTATTTTGTCTCAGCGATGAGTAAAAAGTAACTAAGATAATGTGAAAAATAAAATATGTATTTTTAAGCCACCTTGTCTGTGGTATTTGTCATGGAAGTAGGGAACCATACGTTTTTATTGACAATTTTTGTTTTTACGTCAGTAAAAAGACACAGGCAAACAATTTTATTATTAAAACACAAAAAGTAAAGCTGAATTCATGAATAACTTTTACATGTAAAGGTGAACAAATTTGACGTTAATGGTGTCATTTTGAATTTTTAAATTTTTTGATCATCATGGACATATATCAGAGTCCTTTTCCTCAGTGATCCTTTTTCCATTTTCTCTACTATCATTGGAGAAAATAGTCAATGTCCATTATGTATATTCTCCCATGTTATAGTCTTGTCTCCAACACTATGTTGCTGACCTCAGTGAGTTCTTTTATTCCTGTCATAAAATGAAATCAGTGAGTTCAACAAGTTTTACTCATCCTTGAGACAAAATATCTGATGCCCAAAGTTAGGGAAGGAAAATTTTATTTTTTACAGTTCTTGGAGGTTTTAGTCCATACTCAGTTGACTCCAAGGCAGCATGGCATGGTGGGACAGCTCTTCATGGCATCTGCAAACAGTAAGGGATGAGCCAGCAAGAAAGAGAGAGACACACCATTTTCCCACATAATATCCTGGCTCCACCCCTAGAGTGGTGTAGCACTCACATCACCAATCTGAGCGCTAGACAACAAACCAATCACAAACACTAGATTTGGTCAAATCCATAATTGTATGAGGCTTGGAGGCCACTTACATAAACCATGACATTATCTATATAAGGTAGTGTGTGTTTCCTAATCTTGTCAAGGCATTTGCTTGATTAAGATCCCTGATTGATAAAATCTTATCTCACAACTAGGAAATTATCATTTTTCACTTGAACCATAATTATCTTTGCCTTCTTTCCTCTATTTTCCCTACATATCCCAGCAGCTGTTTTATAATGAATTGTTTTTCTGGCATCATTAACACTTTGAGATTAATTTTGTGACAATATTTTTATCACATGTATGGTTTCATGTGTTCCTAGATATAGCATATTTGATTTACATTTTATATGGGACTAGACAGGTGTCTCATCAAGTATTTGGAAAGTGATAACAGTAATGGTCAGGATATTTCTGGAACAATCTTTGAAGAAATGCATGTGTCTTATTTGGACCTAAAATTTTATCTTATGTAGAGAATAACACTAAAAGTAGCAAAAAGTTGAACAAACAATGGCAAATTTATATTTTATGCCCTATTCAAGTGACATATTTTTCTTCTCATAATGCATATACTTAGTATATTGTATGGTTTTAAACTTATTAAAAACCCTTTTTTGACCTGGCAAATGTTTATAAATTAAAAATATAGAAATGTGATACATTCACATTAAAAATACAGTGTCATCAGCAAATATTGGAGAATATGTAGCACCAAACTCAATTCTTTCATTAACAAAGAAAAAAATTCTCAGAAATTGTTGGGATAAGCATTTTATGAACTGTAGGAATTAACCAGAGGCTTGCAGAAACCTAGGCTGCCCATATCCAATAGAAATGGTGGGTTAATAGTAAAAACAGTAAACTTATGAATTTTAACTTTTTCCAGTACTATCCTCTGCTATAAATGCCAAAGTAACTTTGGAAATACCAGTCTATGTTTTGTGCTCTGAGGGAGCTGAACATGTCCTATTCAGAAAAACAATTGTAATTGATTATTTGTTCTGACTTGGCTTTTGACTGTATTGAAGATCAGTTTGAGAAGCTTGCCTTTATTCTTCCTTCACTCAGAATTGCTGTTGTGGCAAAAATGTTTCACATTTCTCCAATGTACCTGCGGGCTAATCTTTTAGTCTTCTGCCACTTGAGATAGGTAAGAGTTGGAATAAGCAATAGACTAATCAAAAATCTTGAAAATGGAGAATCTTGAAACTGGAGAATGAGAAACCCTCAATATCCTCTAAAAGTTGTGGTTTATTTCTGGAAATTTTGAAGACCATTAAGAGGATAAGAGGTATGCACATTCAGAGGAAATATCTGAATACAGCCTAAGCTCTCACCTTCTGTTGACCTTGAGGCTTTGTGGAAGAGGAAAGGAAAAAGTGGGCAAATGATGTAAACTGCCTGGTTGAATGCTAAAGATGTGACAAACACACACAGAGTCCCTTGGCAAAGACTGAAAGATGTTTAATAACAGGAATTAAAGGAAGTCTTTGCTAAATAACTTATAAAGTAACCACAAGACTGGTGTATTTAGAATCTCTAGTACAGTATTTCACAATGTTTAATATAAATGATGAGAATAGACAGGTTGACCTTGTTTCAAATCTTACAATGAAAGCTTTCAGTATTTCAAATGTAAAAATGATGTAACATACAACATTTTTGGAAATGGTTCTTAATCATGTTGAGAATATTTTTTATATTCTTAGTGACAACTACTTTTTTACCATATGAGGGTGCTGGATTTTGTTAAATGTATTGTGGAGAAACTGGAGCCCTCATACATTGTTGTGGGGATATAACATGTTTTAGTAACAAAGTAATATATCTGGATAATTCTTTAAAAAGTTAAAAATAGAATTATTGTATATACGCTTTTGTAATTGTATGTGATTGTATAAGAGCATCATAATATTTAAAGTAGGATTTAAGAAGTAAATTTCCCATTGTAGCAACTTTAAACTTTTGTTTCATATTGGAAAATTACTTTGTAAAGTGTCCAGATTTACAGTGCTGTCAGAAAAGTTTATTTTTACTCTATATTTTACATTCTGCATTATTAACATTGGAGAAAAGCAGTAAAAATATAAAAAAAGAGCTGTTAAAGCATTAGCTTTGAAAAAAATCTCTTTATCCTGAGAGTTCTATATAGAAATTTAAGTATTTCAGAAATAAATCATTTATTTTCCAATGAGACTATTTCAGAGCCTTACACAAAAGTGAAAGAATATTTGCATTTTTTCAATAGTGTACTATGGATAAAATCTGACAAAATAGGATAAAATAATAAATATGTTAATTTACATTACATAAAATGCTATTGAAAAAAATCTAGGTACTGTTATTGCTTTGGTTTTTTTGTTTTTAGTTGGTTTTCTCTGTTCATTTTGTTTTTCTTTTCTGTATTTTTTTCCCTTAAATAAAAAATTTTTAAAAATCTAAGAACAGATTTTAGAAATTTTACTATTATTAAGTACATTTTTACAAGTAATTGAAGGATAATTGTAATTAGATAATAAAATAATCATATTAATACATCAAGAGAGAAAATAATTATCAAAAGATAGTTAATATAATTCAATATTGATTGAACAATGTGATTCAGTATTGATTCAATATTGTAATTCAATAATGTAATTTAAGAGGCTGACAGTAACAAAGATAAAGATATTTTCTTAGATGAGTACAATGGTACATGACTATAATCCCAGCTACTGAGGAGACTAAGGTAGGTGGACTGCAAATTTGATAGTAACTGGGGCAGTTTGATAAGTATCTGTCTGAAAAATAAAATAAATAAGAGGTTTAGTTCAATGGTAGAATGTTGCATAGCATGTGAAAGTCCCTCAGTAGAATCCCTAGTACAGCCAACAAAAAAATATTTCCCTAATATGAAGAAAGCTATTTTAATCTAAAAACCAGCATTATATTTAAAATTCAAATACTACAGGCATTATTCATAATATCAGAAAAAATCTTAGGTAATTGACAAGCTCATAATTGGCTTAGTGTGTTTGGCTTACTATACCAAAATATCATAATGGGATGGATCATATAAAACAGGAATTCATTTATCAATTTGGAGGCTATGAAGTACAAGATTAAAGTATTGGAAAATTGAGTATGTAGTAATGATCATTTTCCTGATTTATAAGTAAAACATTATGTTGTGTTCTCACATAATGAAAGAATCAATCAAAACCACTTGGGCTTATTTTTATAAAGATATTAATTATATTTATGAAAGCTCTGCCCCAATGATTTAACAATCTCCGAGACTCCACTTCTTAATCTCATGGTTATGAGTAGGTTTGAACACATAACTTTTGGGGGACATAAGCATTTAGACCTCAGGACTAACCAACTAAACTAACAAAATAAGAAGTATGAGTTTTTTAAAAGGAGAATCCTGTAGTTTGAATATATTCCTTCAAAGTTCATGTATTAAAAATAATCCAAATTTTTGCACATTCATGTTATTTGGAGGTGGAAAGGTAATTAGTGGCACTGTTGGCACTGTCTCATATTGTGATGCCCTTTGCAATATTACAATGCCACAAGAAGTTTCTCACCACATGTCAAAATGCTAGGATTACACTTTTGGGCTATCTAGTTTCCTGAACTGTAAGCCAAGTAAACTGTTTTCTATAAATTATCTTGAGTATTTTATACAGGAAGGGAAGATGGACTAAGGCAAGAAATAAAATATGTTTATGTGAAGTTATTTTTTAAAATCTAGATAACCTTGGAAAATTACCTAAAACTTATTGAAATTAAAAAGAATTCATTGAAGTAGACCAAAGAACAATTCTTTAAAGGACCACGTAGTAAATTTTGTAAACATTAGGGGCCAAGTGTTTCTGCTGTAACTAATAAACTCTGCTGCTATACTTCAAAAGCAGTAATAGACAAAAACTAAGTTAATGATTCTGAATGTGTACTAACAAATCTGTATTTATAAGGATGGTTGACATGTCAGATTTTGTACATAGAGCACAGGTTGATGACCCTTAAAAAAGAAAGTTTAATTTTTGTATCTTTAAGTAATTATAAAACAGAAATAATTTTAAGGAAATATTTTATTTATTGGTAGCACACAAAAGAATCCCAGAATGTACTTAACAGGCAATGTACAAGTCCAAAGTATTAGTCACTTTCCTGCCATTGGAACAAAATATCTTACACTTACAAATGAAAGGACAAGGGTTAGTTTGGCTCAAGGTTTCAAAGTGTAAAATAGCACTTGTGTGTGTTTTTGTATTAATTTGTGGACTAAAACCTAATGATCAGGTGCACTAAAAAAATCATCTTTTGCAACCCATAATATTGTTTGGTATGAGTTTTATTACATATAAAGGGAGCCAAAGATATAGCTCAGGGGCATAGTGCCTGCCTAACAAGTGCAAGGTCTGAGTTTGTTTCCTGGTACAAAAAAAAAAAAAAAAAAAAAAAAAGAATATTACTGCTAGGTGTAGTGGTGCAAGCTTGTAATCCTAGGACTCCTGAAGCTGAAGGAAAAGGAATGAAGATGGGCTATATAGTGAGACTCTACCTTAGAAAAAAAAAGCAAAAGCAAAAATTATAGCAACCCAATGCAGATTAAAGTTATGGTGTTGACTATTTAAAAATTTTGGACACATGGTCATTTGATTTCAATGCACAAGCATACTAGATATGAATGGAAGAGGAAAGCTGTTCACTTCATGGCAGCTGGAGGCAGAGAAAACAAGAAAGGAGGAGTTCAGATAAGAATACATCTTTCCAGGTCATGACTTCCTCCAAATCAACCGCTCCAACCAGACCCTACTTCCTAACAGCACATTCAGTTATGAACCCATCAATGGATTAATACATTGATGGGTATATTACCCTCAAAATCCAACAGCATTTGAAACATATTAGAATTTGGAAAAACATTGTAGATATAAATCACTGCCTTAGTTGCTTTTTCATTTGAAGGACAGAGTGCATAACATCCACATCTTAGAGGAGGAAAGATTTATTTTAGCTCACAGTTTGCAGAAGTTTCAGTCCTTAGCTGGCTAGCTCCGAGGCAAGGTGTCAAGGGAAAGGAACACAGCAGAGAAAAACATCCCATGACATGGCAACAGGAAGCAGAAAACAATCAAGGGAGGAAGGAAGGTGGCAAATCCTTCTAGGCCATGAACCTAGTGATCCACCTCCTCTGACAAGATCTCATGTCCCAACATCCCATTTAGCCATAAATTAATCAGTGAACTAACCCATTGATGAGTATCATGCCCCCACTACCAAATCACTTCCCAAAAATTCTATCTATATTTTGTTTATAGGGGGCATTTAGGTATAAATTATAGCATTCTGTCCTTGGTATCTGGAACACTCTTGAGCTTTGTTTTATGCAAAATGTATTTAATCCATTCCTAAAAATTGTCAAAATCTTAATGATACAAGAAAAACATAAGTCCAAATCTGCATAATATCAGATGTGCAGAATTTGTGAGACCTGAAATCCAAGAATAAATTCTAACAGAATTAAGAGTATGAAAGTTTTAATAAGAGCTTCTGAGAGACAGGAGAGGTTCTGAGTGGATTGCCACTGAGATCCTTTGTCAGGGGTAATTTATACAACAAAACCACACTGTGGGCAGTGTGTCAGTCAAAATATAATCAACCAATCAGATTAAAATATTAGCTGCTTAGCTAATATTGATCCAGTAGGGAAGCATGTGAAATAGGAAGTGTATATGGTGGCTGGCATCATTAAACTTGGCTTATCAGTGATTTCAAAAACAGTAATAATTTGGAAAGGGATGGGTTTAGGTGCTTTGGTTATTCACTCAGGTGTCTTATGCGTATCTGGACTTAATGGACTGGGTGGTACTAATTACAGTTCTGCTTATTCCTTAAGGGAGTATGTAAGTTAGGCCACTGTGACTATCTTGACGCCTTGTCTTCTTCAAATATCATTGCGGTCATAATTCTGATGTCTCTAGTATTCACTGACTTCCTTGAAAACCCAGTCTCTCTCTCTCTCTCTCTCTCTCTCTCTCTCTCTCTCTGACTATATATTAATTTATATCTCATTGAACTGCCTAAGATATTTGCCTCTCTGAAGAAGTATCCCAAACTGAGTTGTTTTGGTCAAGGTTTACAAGGGAAAAGATTTAATACAAGGCACATAATTTATAGGATTATTTTATAATAGTCACACAAAGAGTCAAATGCAAACCAGTACAGGATACCCATACACACACTAGAGACTCAAAGAATTCAACTCAGGGTCCTGGATCCTATGGGAATGCCCTATATGAATCTAGCTGAAAACCTAGAATGCATACAATGTCCACCTTGAGTCCAACTGGGGCCTAGAGCTGACAACAATTTCTGTTCCAAGTCTGTATCAAGGATATATACTGCCAAGACCGTAGTATCCATAGTGGAAGCTAGGAAGTCTTTTTCTGTGGGATGTAGGATCTGTGCCATCAGGCTAAAGAATCTGCACTGGAGTCAGGAAACAATGCTCAAGGTAAGGACCAGAGCTCTCTTGAAAAGTACTGCAGTTATCTTCAGCAACAAGGAAGACCTGAGTGTCTTCAACAATGATAATAGCTACGTTCATATCAGGAAAACCAGCATGACAAGCTTCTAAGAACAATCAACAGTACACTGCCTTTCCCTCCAGTTCTCCTTTTTAAACTGATGGGCCATTCACACCCAGCATCAGGCTGATTTATTTGAGCTGGATGTTACAAGTTGACTATTACTTAATCTACTATGAGTTTAGGGGATAATGGACATAGTTTCCATCTTACTGCTTTGAACTAAGACTTGGAGACCACAATCAGGGGCCTTCTTCAGAGAGCTATTGGGACATTGATAGAAATTATGCTGCAATTTAACAATTATGATTTCGCTTTAAAATATTAATCTAGTGTATCCCAGTAAAAGAAGTCGGGCATGTTTGTCATTGGTTCCATCTGCAAAGTCACTTGGAGTTTAACAGCCTCTAAGAAAGGAGAAGCAAATTTTTCAGAGGCTAAAGAATATACAATCAAAGCATGAACAATAGAATGGGCAGTACAGAGAAAGAGCCACGTGCAAACACTGCTCTTAAGGGGCTGGAATAACGATTACAACAAGATGAATTCTATACCTTTCTATTTAAAGAGGTTTTCTGTAAGTCTGATTTATCTTTTAAGATTTTTTTCACCAGATCTTAATTATTTATCTAGGGACAACAAATTACCTTATTAGTAAACAAGTCAGTGAACTAAATGTACAATTTCAGCTAAGGAATTTAAATAGTCCTGTTGTTTTACAGCTTACACTGCAAGTTTAGCCTCATTGAACCACAACAGTGATCAGCTACAGGTGTAGCTGAGAACTGTCAGAAGATCTCAGCAACTGGAGCCACCATTTTATAGCTAGCCTTTACTACTATGATATTAAGTTTATACATCTTTTGGTTATAATTTTCTACTGGGCATTTAAGTCCAAGTTAAAATGAAACTGAGGTTAATCAAAATTAACCCCTAATGGTATATCAAGATCAGTTAAAGACTTTGGGGCATTATATTTGGAGCCAACTATATAGCCATTTAGCTCCTCTGTTAGTGTCAGCTACCCGGATGGATCATGGTCTTATTTGACCATGTGGCTTTCTGTAGAAACATTGGATGTATTTCTCTCTCTGTGGGTCCTTCTTTTTGATATACTGTAAATTGGTTGACTCCCATTTTCTGAGACCCAACAATCTCTTTGCTTGGGAAGTTTGGTGATTCACCACTGTTGTAGGATGTTGCTCCCCTTTGCTCATGGGTCTTTGTTGACCTTGGAGGGCCACAGTCAAAATATTGTTTGCTCTCTTAACCAAGGTATCTGTGTAGCTCTGGACACCAAACCTTGACTGTTGATCACCCAGAAAAGAAAATTAGTAATATCCATATTATAGTGGGACCAGTAGGTTTAATGATACGATCTTATATAGATATCAAGTGCCTACAAATGCATAGTGTAAAAAATAAACTATTATTTCTTTACTTATGATCACCTTAGAAGATGTATCCTTGAAGAATGTTAACCAAAAACAATTACAAAATTTTACAGTGCAAATGAGATCAAAGGCAACAAAATATTTCAGCATGACAGTCATGATAACATTAACTCTGAAACATTTATCAACATTTTAACTTTTTGTTTTGTCTAATTAAAAAGTATTAAATGATACAAAGAAATTAAAAAGTATTAAATGATACAGAGAAACTTTAACCTAATTTGTTATCCTTGATCATTTTCTGCTATTTAAGTAGAATATACTTATTTATAGATGTACTGTACAGATGATTAATGCCTAATCTGTAATCATTATGTTACATTGTCTGAACTGCATAGTGTTTAAGTATCTCTAATTTTATAAACAGAATTACATAACAATCATACCAGCACAATCATGAAAGCATATGTATATCATTTTGTTGGCTGTCTCATACTAGATTATTATGTACATTACATTGCAAGTAACTTGAACATGTGCAATATAATGTCAGCTGTTTGGTCCTGAAAAGTTTATCTCCATAAACAATTGTATAATGGAAATCGCCAGTATGATAAGATATTTTTCAGTTTCTCATTGTAGAAATCTTATACTCTTGGGAAACACAGATATACCTTTTATATATGGTGAGCCTAGTGATAATTGGAACCAAAGCTATAAAGAAATATTTATATATTTAGTTTCTACACTTAAGACAAATTTAATAAGGTATATATGTATTGACAAGAATTAAGGATAACTTTATAGCTCTTATAAATTTAAGATACAGTGTTCATGATTGCCAATAGAATTACTACCCAACAATCAAATGTATCTTAGCTATACAATAACAAAGTGTTTATTAAAACCAATATATACTTATAGATCAAGTTTAAATATTAGGACCAAATTTAAAGAGATGTCAAATTTTGATCATTTTATGCATTTTTGTATGTATATTGCATGAAAGACAGTACCTATTACTTAATTTATATATATTAAACTTTGTAGTCTTACCTCTATAAAATTAACTTCAAACCTTAGACTAAGAACATAGCTTGTTTCTTGATGTATACATATATATTTGCCCAAATACATGCTATGTTATTGTGGAGGAGATTGAGACTCAGTCTTATTTCTAAGACTCCATTTTAGTATGTAGCTACCCTTTAGATGAACTCTGTCCTGAATTCCTGAGAATCTCCATCCCTAGTAGTCATAAAACCATAAAAGGAGAGACAAATGGTTTTAGCACCCAATGGTCAAGATCACTGTTGCTTGCTTGCCAGTTGAGTAACAACTCGAATATTCAGGAACGTCCTGTAACACTCCTGTGAGACTTTAAACATCTT